AGGCCCATGGTTGAGCCTTCCCTGGTGATATGTCTTAGGTCTTGGATGTTTGTTAGGCCCATGGTTGAGTCTTCCCTGGTGATATGTCTTAGGTCTTGGATGTTTGTAAGGCCCATGGTTGAGCCTTCCCTGGTGATATGTTCTTGGTCTTGGATGTTTGTTAGGCCCATGGTTGAGCCTTCCCTGGTGATATGTCTTAGGTCTTGGATGTTTGTTAGGCCCATGGTTGAGCCTTCCCTGGTGATAGGTTCTTGGTCTTGGATGTTTGTTAGGCCCATGGTTGAGCCTTCCCTGGTGATATGTCTTAGGTCTTAGATGTTTGTTAGGCCCATGGTTGAGCCTTCCCTTGTGATATGTTCTTGGTCTTGGATGTTTGTTAGGCCCATGGTTGAGCCTTCCCTGGTGATATGTCTTAGGTCTTGGATGTTTGTTAGGCCCATGGTTGAGCCTTCCCTGGTGATATGTTCTTGGTCTTGGATGTTTGTTAGGCCCATGGTTGAGCCTTCCCTGGTGATATGTCTTAGGTCTTGGATGTTTGTTAGGCCCATGGTTGAGCCTTCCCTGGTGATATGTCTTAGGTCTTGGATGTTTGTTAGGCCCATGGTTGAGCCTTCCCTTGTGATATGTTCTTGGTCTTGGATGTTTGTTAGGCCAATGGTTGAGCCGTCCCTTGTGATATGTTCTTGGTCTTGGATGTTTGTTAGGCCCATGGTTGAGCCTTCCCTGGTGATATGTCTTAGGTCTTGGATGTTTGTTAGGCCCATGGTTGAGCCTTCCCTGGTGATATGTCTTAGGTCTTGGATGTTTGTTAGGCCCATGGTTGAGACTTCCCTTGTGATATGTTCTTGGTCTTGGATGTTTGTAAGGCCCATGGTTGAGCCTTCGCTGGTGATATGTCCTAGGTCTTGGATGTTTGTAAAGCCCATGGTTGAGTCTTCCCTGGTGATATGTTCTTGGTCTTGGATGTTTGTAAGGCCCATGGTTGAGCCTTCCCTGGTGATATGTCTTAGGTCTTGAATGTTTGTTAGGCCCATGGTTGAGCCTTCCCTGGTGATATGTTCTTGGTCTTGGATGTTTGTTAGGCCCATGGTTGAGCCTTCCCTGGTGATATGTCTTAGGTCTTGGATGTTTGTTAGGCCCATGGTTGAGTCTTCCCTGGTGATATGTCTTAGGTCTTGGATGTTTGTTAGGCCCATGGTTGAGTCTTCCCTGGTGATATGTCTTAGGTCTTGGATGTTTGTTAGGCCCATGGTTGAGCCTTCCCTGGTGATATGTCTTAGGTCTTGGATGTTTGTTAGGCCCATGGTTGAGTCTTCCCTGGTGATATGTCTTAGGTCTTGGATGTTTGTTAGGCCCATGGTTGAGCCTTCCCTGGTGATATGTTCTTGGTCTTGCCCATTTTCTTTTCCCTTACGATGTCCACAGGAGGGCTTAAGTGGGTAACAAATAATTCACAAGGTTCTAGTCACAGCAATCTTTAGCTATAAATCTAGAGTTGGCGGTGGTTCTAGTTAACGTCTGAGGGAGTTACCGACGACAGTTCTAAACTCATGGGTATACTACTTCCATAGGGGCCGAATATACAATCCTTGGAGGAAGCTAATATGTTCTCATAGTTCTTCAGAATCCATTACTAAACATCAGATGTGAAAACAACCATAATGTGTTGACTGGTAGTGAAAAAAAAAGTTTTGTTGTGTGTCCTTTACAGAACTTTGCAGAAGCAACCCCCAGCGCTTATTGGCTGTTTATGATTTCACTGGGCAACTTTATGTTGAATAGTTTGCCTTTGCCATGAACGATAGGCTCTCGGTACCACTACTGAAGCCAATGCAAGACAGTCTGATGCCAAACTGCTGGCAGCTGGGATAGAACTTGGCATCCTGGATGTTACGAAGCGCGTTCGCAATGGCAAAGCCATAGACGCCGACAGATTGGTAGTACACGCTAATCTAATAGAGCTAGTCATGTGTAGTGCTTCGATCGGGACAGAAAGATAGCTGAGGTAGTTCAGAGGTCTTGGGACTGACTAGCCACTGAGCCAGATTTTTATATTACGACCTGACCTCTCAGGTCGACCTAGTCTAATCCAGGTACCAGGAAATGTAATGGGACTTGCAGACGACAGGCAGGATGCTGACCACAGGATCCATCGACTCAGCAGAGATACCCAGAGGTGGCTGCTTCCTCACAAGACTGATCACCAATGGGAATACCCAGTATGTAGTGACATCGACTGTGATAACATTATACAAACCAGCGACTGACCACTGACATTTTAAAACTAAATCTAGAACGCTTTGCCTTGTGCGCCAATGTCTGTGCATGTTTCCATCTGTCTATATGCCTGTTTTGGTCAGATACCTGTCTATCTATATGAATGTCTATTTATATGAATGTCTGTTTTTATGAATGTCTATTTATATGAATGTCTGTTTATATGAATGTCTATTTATATGAATGTCTATTTATATGTCTATATGTTTGTATATAGGCCTGTTTTATGCTTTTGTCTGTTTTTATATGGCTGTATGCATGTCTATCTGCTGTATGTCGGCCGCTTTATATGTCTGTCTGTGTATGTGTGTATCTGTCTATGTGTCTGCCTTCTATATGTCTGTCCATCTGTTTGCGATAGGCCATATACTCGTAGAATGGCGACTGTAATGTGAATTAGCCAAAGCGCTTTGACGATCACAAATGTTGGAACGATAAACAGCAGCACAAACAATGATAACCTCAAGTACTCACGTACAAAGTCCAGCGCTGGAAGGCGTTGCCGAGGAGTAATTTGCCCAGAACACTTGGCTACATTTGCCAACTTGCTCGCATGATGTTAACTTAATGATGTCTGTAGGAACACATTCGATAGTACTGAATATTAATGTGTTATTCCTTGTACAGTTAGCACAATTCATTATCAGTAACGTTGCTCCATAAACAGACACTTATAGAGAGTAGTAGAAGGGTAGAAGAACACATTAGCCTAGACAACATAAAAAACGAAGGTTATAGTAACCGTTTTGAAATACAGCTTTAGATTTTTATGTTGTTTATTGTGTCCTTGGTTCTTTCTATTTGTTTCTATAAGTGCTGATCAATACACCATCTGTTTGTCTATTATATATATATATATATATATATATATATATATATATATATATATATATATATATATATATATATATATATATATATATGGAATCGCCGTGGCAGAGCCGCTAGACACTCGCCGCAGATCGAAGGGTCAAGGGTTCTCTCCCTGGTGGAGCCAAATATTTTTCAAAAATGATCTTGGTTCCCAGGTCGACACAGCCTTGAGTGGGTACCAGGTGCAGTCCGGGGAAGTAAAGGCGGCAGGTGTGGTGCTGACCACATCACTCTCCTTGTGCCGATTGGTCTATAAAATATAGGTCTAGCCCTATACGCCTAAAGGCGTGAAAAAGGGTTCTTATATATGTAATGTTTTCACGGCCCTAAGAGTTCCCCCTCTGTTTACTTATGTGTATTCCATAATCAGGGCTTTTTCATAGGAAAGAAAAGGTGCATGAGGCTCTCCCAAATCCTTCCTATCTTTTTAACTTCATCCTCTCATTCCCGTCTCCCTGTGATTTTGACCTGCCGTTCTTTCTGTGGACCTGTGAGTTCCAGTGTAAAGCCTTTCTAGTTATATATTGTTCTCATGTTTTCTCAGCTTTCGTCCTTTGCAATGCCAGCGTCTTTTCCACACCGTTTGATGAGTCCCAGCTTCACTAACATAATATTCACCTTGCTCGACCGTGCTAGTGTAGTATGTTGACATTTGTTCAGGAGATGAAGTCTGCGGACATAGACGAAAAGCATTACTCACGAAATACACTGCTCACAGTGTTGCGCCAAACACGTAGTTCAGTATCTTGGCAAGGAAACCGTGTACCAGTCCGTGTATGGAAAGTGCATTAGCAAACCTCGGCCAGACAAAAATGGGAAAAAAAACAACCCTTTAAGTTTTAATGGTCTGCTGCCCATCAGTCATGTTGGACCGGAATCAACATCCTTGTTGTGACATGGCTAAAGGAATAACACTAAACCTAACAAAGACAATACATTTTATAGCTGTAACTTAAACTATATTATTCTAGTATTATTATGGCTATAGAATAGACGCGACAGAAGGACAAACATGAAACATAATAAAGAAATATTGGGGTAAACATAACTGACCGGGATGACATTTGCGGGCAAACTGGGTTTTCAGTGTCTGCACTGACTGGATCATTGGCCCAAACTGTTGGCTGCACGTGGGGCTGAGTCTGGACACACAGGAAGCGTATGTGGCCAGAGAACTGTGGAGGAGTTAAACAATACACAGTTTGAATTCACGAGATTCATAAGTAAATGCCCTCTGCTAGGCCTGGAGAATGCAGCAGCAATTAAACGTTTGACTAAGTACAACAAGCTAAGTTTTCAGTTGGTAAGTTTGTATGGCTCGTGAAAGATCTTCCTAAAGTCCATGTCGTTTGGCGTTGGTAGTCAAGTCTATCCACAGTATCCCGCCTCGGGTAGTTTTAATTAACTCTGACACAAATAATCCTCCATGCCGTGATGTCAGACTATCCAGAATCTTCTCTCTCAACCTCCCCATGCCTCTACAACTTTCCAACCGTCACGATGTACTTCAGATTTCTATTTCTCGGGACTTGACCAAAGAATTTAAATTGTTTCTTTCTGATGTGAGTTATCAGTTATCTCTGTGAGCTAGTTTTCTTCAGGACGTCACTACTCTTTGTTATCAGTCCAGGGCATTTTCATCATTCGTCTATAAAACCATATCTTCGCTGCTTCCAAATAATTTTACTCTAATCGACCAACTTTCTATGATTTACTTTCATATATCAGGATAAGATTTATATAGCTTTTACTAGTTCTCTTTCTCGTCTCCAACTGACAACGTTTGTGAAAGATGTAATGATAAAAATGACCGTTGGTAGTCAACAGTGCCCACAGGACTAGGCTACAGCTCACCTACAGATGGCGGTGAGGTTTGCTGTGTGAAGACCCGGGAAGAACGTGCTGTTGAATGGACTGGAACATTCCTGGAAGCTCTGAACACACAGGCTGGCTGTCTGGCCGTTGTCTGCAGGGTGTAAAGGTAGATAGTTGTTAGCAGTTCTGTGTTACATATGGCTAGTTACGTTCTTATCGTAACGGTTTTTTTTTATTTGAGTATGTGTGTTAATATGAGAGCGATAGGTGTAGATTTTAGAGATAGAAGAGACCACTAATCATGCAGGCAGACATATAGATACATAAACAGACACAGAGACAGACAAACAGATATGTGTGTTTATATGCGAAAGAGACAATTCTTTATGCTCGACAGACACAGAGACTTATACTTGGATTTATAATCAGAAGAAACAATCAGTCAAACGGACACACAAAGAGACGTAGATTTATAGACAAACGAGACAATCATTCATGTAGCTAAAAAGTAAGAATGAGAAGACAATGCAGGTTTATAGACAGAAAAGACCTTCAAACGTGCAGGTAGATCAGAGGGGGTAGAAGTAGACAGGTAGAAATGAGATAGGGAGAGGAGTAGGACGCAAACAGACATCAAACATGCGGTTTGGGAATGAGTAGATAGCGCAGGCTAGGTTCAGTTGAGAGAGACAGAAAGAAGTGGGTGAAAGTGAAGAATGAGAAATAACGAAGACAGGATGGACAGACTAATACAGAAAGGGAAGCATGTGTGTTTGTGTGTGAGAGAGAGAAAGAGATAGAGAGCGCGCGAAAGAGAGAGAGAGAGAAAGAGAGAGAGAGAGAGAGAGAGAGAGAGAGAGAGAGAGAGAGAGAGATATGGGGGGGGGAAGAAAAAAAAGGCGGGGGGGGGGGGGGGGTTGTGTTGGTTGATGCGAAGTGTTTGATCCAGAGACACAGAGCTGGGTTTTTTCTCCTTCTTGTGATAGCTCTCTGATTTACACCGACCGACAAGTTCTTGTGATGGAATCAGGGCCGTGCCGTGCTATGATAAGATAGGCAGCGGCATCAGGCGGCACCGTAAGGAGGCGGCATAAGCAGCAAAGGGAGTCGCCGTGGTGAAGCGGATCGGAAGGTCGTAGGTTCGAGTCAAGAAGATACCGAAATTTGTATTTCTTTTTAAAATGACCTTATGGCGGCCAACGGGGTGCTTACCACATCACCTACCAAGTGCCGACTGGTTTTTAATATAAGTCTAGCCCAATATGCCTAGTACTCTGAAGGCGTGGGAAATGACTAAGTTCTCAGTTAGTTCCCTACAACTGTAAATATAATGTTGAATAACTGTTTGTATAAGTTCTCAGTTAGTTCCGTACAACTGTAAATATAATGTTGAATAACTGTTTGTATAAGTTCTCAGTTAGTTCCGTACAACTGTAAATATAATGTTGAATAACTGTTTGTATAAGTTCTCAGTTAGTTCCGTACAACTGTAAATATAATGTTGAATAACTGTTTGTATAAGTTCTCAGTTCCGTGCAACTGTAAATATAATGTTGAATAACTGTTTGTATAAGTTCTAAGTTAGTTCCGTACAACTGTAATGATAATGTTGAATAACTGTTTGTATAAGTTCTCAGTTAGTTCCGTACAACTGTAAATATAATGTTGAATAACTGTTTGTATAAGTTCTCAGTTAGTTCTGTACAACTGTAAATATAATGTTGCATAACTGTTTGTATAAGTTCTCAGTTAGTTCCGTACAACTGTAAATATAATGTTGAATAACTGTTTGTATAAATTCTCAGTTAGTTCCGTACAACTGTAAATATAATGTTGAATAACTGTTTGTATAAGTTCTCAGTTAGTGACGTACAACTGTAAATATAATATTGAATAACTGTTTGTATAAGTTCTCAGTTAGTTCCGTACAACTGTAATGATAATGTTGAATAACTGTTTGTATAGGTTCTCAGTTAGTTCCGTACAACTGTAAAGATAATGTTGAATAACTGTTTGTATAAGTTCTCAGTTAGTTCCGTACAACTGTAAATATAATGTTGAATAACTGTTTGTATAAGTTCTCAGTTAGTTCCGTACAACTGTAATGATAATGTTGAATAACTGTTTGTATAGGTTCTCAGTTAGTTCCGTGCAACTGTAAAGATAATGTTGAATAACTGTTTGTATAAGTTCTCAGTTAGTTCCGTACAACTGTAAATATAATGTTGAATAACTGTTTGTATAAGTTCTCAGTTAGTTCCGTACAACTGTAAATATAATGTTGAATAACTGTTTGTATAAGTTCTCAGTTACTTCCGTACAACAGTAAATATAATGTTGAATAACTGTTTGTATAAATTCTCAGTTACTTCCGTACAACTGTAAATATAATGTTGAATAACTGTATAAGTTCTCAGTTAGTTCCGTACAACTGTAAATATAATGTTGAATAACTGTTTGTATAAGTTCTCAGTTAGTTCCGTACAACTGTAAATATAATGTTGAATAACTGTTTGTATAAGTTCTCAGTTACTTCCGTACAACTGTAAATATAATGTTGAATAACAGTTTGTATAAGTTCTCAGTTAGTTCCGTACAACTGTAAATATAATGTTGAATAACAGTTTATATAAGTTCTCAGTTAGTTCCGTACAACTGTAAATATAATGTTGAATAACTGGGCCAGGATAGTCAAAAGAAATTAAAATTAATACTAAACTACAATTTTTTTAATTTTGATGTCAAATCAGTACTGTTGTATGGAGTGGAAACATGGAGAACAACTAAGTCAATTACTTATAAGTTACAAACATTCATTAACTGGTGCCTGTGCAGAATAGAGGAAACTAAATGGTATGATAGAAATCACCAGTGTAGAGCTTTGGGAGAGAACTAAACAAGTTCCAGTCGACCAAGAGGTGAAGAAAAAACGCTGGCGTTGGGTGGGGGCACACGTTGTGAAAACCGGAGAACAGTATAACTAGAATGTCTTTGCACTGGAACCCACAGGGGTATAGAAATAAAGGACTCCCCCCCCCCCCAAAAAAAAAAAAAAAAAACCACACGGAAAAGTGAACTAGAGATTGAGGTTAAACAGATAAGGAGGACAAGGGGAGAGCGGCAGGCGATAGCAACGGATAGAACTGCTTGGCGTGGGTTGGTTGAGGGCCTATGCTTCATTGGGGGTTAGAAAGGCAGAAGAAGAAAGAATAGTGAGTTGGGGTAGTTAATTAGAATGGAAAATGGTACAGCTATGCGACAATGTGATGCGGGCAATGATAAAATATATAATTCTAAAAAAGAGAGAGAGAGAGAGAAGAGATTAAAATCTTTTTTTTTTTTTTTCGGAATCGCTGCATAACAAACAAAACAAAAAGGAGCAGATTGTTCACGCAGGCACCGATAGAGGATCAATCAATGTGGAAGCGAGCTGTACAGATGGGAACTTAACCATTTCCACAGTAAGCGTTGTGTTTCCGCCTGAACTGTTCGAGTCCAACCAGGCCCTGTCTGATGAAGTCGGTACATCCCGGAGTCTGGCTGATGTTGTTCATGCACACGCTATAGTTGTCCAGGGTGCTACAGACAGTAAACAAGTCTTGGAATGTGTTTTTAATATTTCACACTAATTGTTATACTAGCGAAAACACTCACTGTCATCGTCAAAATCAAAATCATCATTATCATCACCAGGGTATTTGTGACCGTGCATAGTACCTTTCTTTAGGAGGCATCTTTTCTGTCCATTTCTGCTGTAATAGACCCTTTGTAATAAGTACCAGTACCCTTTTTATAGAACATTCCCCCCCCCCCCCCATCCCCCTCCCCCCAATAAATCCTTATCATTACCTTCAGCAAGTGTCCCGTTACAACTACATGTTTTACATTAAACTGACTTTCTTTCTTGCGGTCTTTACAGTCAGGGAAGAGAACTCTTGTAGTGAACACGGTACTCAATAATGACGAATGTATGTTCTAGCAATCATCACTTTCACCATGCGCTACGCCAACAAGTATCTTCGGTTATGGTTTGTCGTCCCGCACGAACACCATCATAAGATCAGTGCTCTTGCATCTCTTCTCCCATCTTCCATTGTCTATGTAGTGAAGTCGTTCCTTTTGTCTTTTTTCCCCCCTTTCATCAAGCTTGCCAGTTACCATACAACTTTCAAGCCTATTCCTTTGTGTCAACAAATGCTCTGACAATACCTAACTGAGATGAAGACAGCTGAGATAAAGACATGTGTCTAACAGTTGAAATGCGGGCGATTACATGTTAAAGTCGAGAGCTTCTGCCTCTCTACACTGGCTTTCACCACGCAGTCTCACTTTCTCACTACAGAACGGCTACCCCTTGCCGAGAATGTCACACAAAGCACGTTAACCGAACCGCAAGCTACGATCACCAGTTATCTTCATTAAAAGTGAACTTTTCGAGGACGTTGTAAATCAGAAAAAGATCAAAGAATATGTATAGTCAACTTCTTGTGTGGATAGCGAACAAGTAATTTCGTAATTAAAAAAAAAAAGTATTTATTTGAAGCTCGCTAGATGTTGATAAAAACAAGAACATTGAGATTTTTATGGTGTGTGTGTGTGGGGGTGGGGGGGGGGCGAATCAATTAACTTTTTTTGGGTGCAGAATCATCATCATCAGGTTCCTTGCCGACTGGCGTGGGCGATCAAGGCTCTCCACAATCTGCGATCTCCTGCAGCGTGTATCAGTTCGTGTGCTGACACACCTCCATGCCATGCAACAAGACTGTCAAGAATCTTCTCTCGTTGTCTTCTTCTATCCCTCTTTCCACAAAACTTTCCAGTGGTCACAACATGTTCTATTTTCCCTTTTTTTTTCATAAGATGACTGTCTCCTTCTGATGTCTGTGATTAGTTGTCTTCGGGCTCCCGCCTCTTTCAAAACCTCTTGGTTGCTCTTTTTGGCTGATCAAGGTATTCTAAGCATTCTTCTGTAAAACCACATCTCTGAGGCCTCAAGAAATTGTTTGGCCTGCCTACCGATTGTCCAGGATTCACAGCCATATGTTAAAACTGGATGTATGTAGCAAGCAAGAATGACATGAATATATTGCAACTTTTGAATAGTCTAAGCTTTCGTTAAATATGGTTTGTGTAATTCTTTCGTATTCGCTA